AAAAAAAATCTGTGCTTCCCTATGAACTTGAGTGACATCCCGTTCTTAATCCATGGAGTTTAATATGATTTTGGCACACCCTTTTCCCACAAGGTTTAAGAGTGTGTTTATGGGACTTTATGACCATTCTTCCAGAAACACTTCTGTGAGGGCAGACAGGGATTTTGGATTTTGGCTCTAGTTGTTGACTGGAACACCGGAATTCAATTATTTAAATATAAATCATAGTATTTAGTATATCATTTAGTATATCATAGTATTTCCAAGGGATCTCTGACATTTTACACACCTTAATCAAATTTGTTCCACTGTTTCACGTTCAGAATTATTTTAAGATTTGTACTCATTTTAATGTATGTTTAATGAATGTTGGAGTTATTACAATTACAAAAACTAATGCTGAATAAACATTTCACTCAGTTCTTCTTTCAAAGACACTTGTGATGCCTGTCCTCAATGAACATGCTTTTAGATTTATGTTCTAAGAATTCACTTGAGTTTCCACAAAGGGATGCATGTGATTGTGGCATTGCCCTCATTACTTTGACCTCCTTTGTTGGTCCAATAACAGACAACTGAGGTGAAGTGTAAAGGTCATGTTTGTATACACATGTTAAGAGGGCATCACTGTATAATATTGTACTGTACGTTTTGTCCCATCTTCATCTTTTTTTTAAAGTAATGGAATTGCTTGCTTTTATCCTCCTCTTTGCTTGTGCAGCTTTGTTTATGAGTCTTGACATGACAGTCCTCATTCCCTGCAGGACCCCAGCCCCTGCTGACTTTGTCTTGTTGGAGGATGAGTTGTCTAAACAGAAACCAGTTGCTCAGTGAATTCAGATAGCGAGTGTGAGGCGGCAATCATTTGGCCATTACCCTTTCTGAGCTCATATGTTTGGCCTGTCATTGTTCCTTTCCAGCCCCTTTAGTCACGGCCGGGTTGATGCTTTCCTGTGTCCTCATCAGACACTGGGTTAATCACACCCCTGGGGAAGTTCCTATCTCCCATCTCTGACTGTCTAAATGATGTGGCATAGCCTTCACTGTCATTCTGGCTGTACTTATCCAAGTGTAAACGCTTTATTATTATCTTTGGTGTTGCTAGTCATAGCCAGTGTGTGTGTCTTGGCACGTAGAACCATTATTTATGCCTTTGTGTTTTGTCCTAACGATATGTTTGGCGTATTTGTTTATGAGATGAAGTTAGGTTTGCATCCCAGCGACCAATCATTATGCATTTGGCAGAATTCCCATTCAACAGTAATGGTCAGTGAGAAGTTTATAAAACAGAAGTTTTGAGACGGCTGCAACATCTAGGCAAAGAGAGCATATAATGTGTGTCTGTGCCTCAAGCTTACTGTCCCCAAATATGTCCAAAGGTATGTGGATCAGTGTCTATTTTAGAAGCATCCATGGGAATTGAATTAGGCCATGAGGTTACTGGATTTCCCCCTTTGGGTAAAAACAGCTCACGTGAACAATAAAAGGAGGAAAATAAAGGAATGTGAATAAGATAACACCATCACAGTTTCTCGCCGCAATAAGTGGTGGTAAAAATCCTTGGTCAAACAGTGCATGTACGAGATTCTCAGGTGTTCTGTGTTCGTATACAAGCAAGTAACTATGATCATGCGTTATAGATGTATGCTGTCAAAAAAGAATCTGCTTTTCAGTATATACTTTAGTTCAAATGTTTCTAGCTGAGCTGTTTACTTTTGCCACCAGTTGTAAATTACACACAAATCCATGTATTGATCTGCTCTGATATATTTTGCTTTTACATTTATTCTTCTCTTCTCTGAGGTTCTCACGTAACTAAAATAAAGGTGATACTCATAATGATGCAGCCTCAGATTTAGGAGAATCGAAGGCAGCAAACAGCCTCACTGTCAGATGAGTGCAGAAGCAGCGTGTGGGCATAGCGGGGGTTGTGTAGAGGAGGTGGGGTCTGTCCCGTGTGTCAGCAGCCCGATGGATAGAACAGGGGCATAGCAGAGTGAGTATGAAAGGACACGCCGTGCAATGCAGACAGAGACTGCAGACATGCAGCAGCACAGAGCGGCATATATGTTTAAAGAGGCTGCAGCAAAGAGGGCTATAGATGAGGTAAGGAAGCTAAAAAAGGAATGGCTGCCACACAGAGTTGCGTGGTCTAATGTCTCTTTTTTTAATGCTCTTGTTTAAGTGGGTTTTTGCATTTTAATGTTTGTACTGTGTGCACGTCACAAGACTTTATAGTCTAGCAGAGGGTTTCAGCACACCGCGTTCATATTCATCACACTGCCGTTATTTTCACCAACAATTTTTGATTTTCGCTGTGACCCACATGCAGCAGTTTAACTTTATCTATGTTAGAGATGTCCAAATGACAAGACATATTTGAAGGCAGTTGGCATTACTTGTTTTTCCTACGTGTGATTGTTTTCTCCAGGTGTGTTAAGAATGACATCTTTGGAAACCTGATATTAGGGATTACTCAAACATGTGACTGCACAACAACTCCAAGTGACTCTGAGGTCAAGTTTGCCGACCCTCAACATGGTCTCTCTGTGGAATATTTATTTTCTCTTGCCTCTCTCTTTGCCTCACTCGCTTCGTGCCATAGCGTTAACTGGAGAAAATGTGAAAGAAACACAACAGCCAGACAGTGACAAGGCAGGGCAGTTTCTGAAACAGCTCTCGAGTAGACCTCATGTACCCGGTTCAGCACCAAGTGACCCCATGATTGCACCCGAGGATGATGACTTCCTGGGTTCCCCTTTAAGTTGGTCCTTATCATCATCTGAGGACACAGACAGACAAGGTGTGATTGGTGAATATGGCGATTTACTGGAGAGCGCTGAGACATCTCTTTTCTTTCCTAATGAGAAGGGACCTATACCCAGACCCACAAAGGGCGCTACAGTAGATACTGCCTCCACAGAGAGAATGCAAACAATGAAGTCCTCATCAGCAAGTGTACCACCCAAGCTTACCCATGAACAAACATTAAAGAATCAACCAGCTGAGACCAACACTGCATCAGTTTTGTATCCTAGAGAGTCTGGGGAGAATCAGCCAACATTCCCAGGCTTTCAAAATCAGATGACTGATACTCACTTACCCTTTCTTCTCCCTGGCTCACTCCCATCACACACATCAGACCAGAAGTCAACTTCATTGCTGCCCACTGGACCGGAGCCAGACACTCTTGGATGGACCACAGGCATTTCTGTTACCACAAAGGGAAACAGAGATGGATTCATTGATATTACAGATCTTATTTTACAGAGAGAAACTGCCAGCATGGAGGCAAAAGAAGGTAAGAGTCCTTTAATTATTTACAGCATTCCTACTTTAAATCTAAAGCTGAAACTATGCCCTACAGTGCATTTCAGTTTCCTTGCATAACCTCCAAAAACTCAGAATCCACATGTCACTGCAGTGCTTATGATATGTATTCTGCTGGCAAACACAGTTTTTTTACATTCACAGAATGGGTTGCATCACTTTCTTCAAATGTCTCTCTTTGACTCAGTTCTCTGCCCTTGTCTTTCTCATTCAAGCCTTTTAGCACAGATTCTCCAGTTCAAACTTACACTCTCCTGTTAAAGTAAAACATTTTATTCACATTGCAGTCAGCCCGCACTCAAAGGTTACTGGATAATGCAGCATGCACACTATTTACTGTACACACACACAAATATTAGCATTTACTTGTCAAAGTAAATGTTGTGTCCACAAGCATATGAGGAGGACTTGAAAGAAATTAATAAGGAATTTGCTTCCTCCTGTGTATGCATTTAACACCACACATTTTCAGTGTAACAACAAGTTTATTGAATAACTGCATCAAGATGGAGTACATATTAAATGTACTCTCATTTTTATTAGATTTCATAGACAGCAGAGCGAAAGCCCCGCACTTATAAGTGCTCTCTGTTCGCTGCATCTATACTGATTGCTTCACTACTAATGGAGGACCAGAAATAGGACACATTCCATTTATAACCAGTAGGTTCCCTGATTCCCTGATTGCCCTATACAGCTTATTTCATATACAGAATAAGAAACTCACATTTTTTGTTTGTTACAATGTTATCATCAGTCATAAACCTCTTTCGCATTCTTACAGATAACAACATCGCTTCACTAATGTGAATTTACTTATAGCCACACAAAATGAGAGCAGGCATGAGGTCAATACTGGCTAATCAGCACACATACAGTATCTCTCTTCCTCACTTTCACACAAACACATATGCACACAACCTACTGCTCATGCTCCCACTCTGTCTGTGACCCAGTTAGATTCCCAGTTACAAGCCCGTTCTGTTTTATTATGGATTAGCTTCACACACAGCAGATTACACCCTGCTCTCTTTTTAGAAAATGAAGATTGTGCGTAAAAATAAATTTGGCCTGTATCCAGAGGTTAGATTAGCACCAGTATGTTCATTTCTCGAGAAAAAAATGTCATTATCAAAGATAATATGACACATTACCACCACACAAAAAATAATAAAAATACACAGGTGTATTAGGTGTGAATCAAAGCCATGCTTTGAGCTTAATGCTAACACTAGCATTCTAACATGCTCATGATGACATGGATAAAGTGCTGATGACATTGACAGTATAAAACATGGATGTAGCTTACAGAGCATTAAACCTGCATTCTAATTAATGGCCACCAGAGGGCGGCCCTATAGAAGTCTATGGGAAAAACGACTCCTGACTTGACCTACCCTGCTGAGTTCACAGGCTCAGTCACTCATTTAGAGACATATTAAATTTTAAAAAACTAAGACATGTTTAATACTATGTTTTAAAAAACCATAGCGATGTCCATCTTTTATCAAGTTAGCATGTTTGCTCGTTTGCCAACGAAAAACTTTAAATTAAGTCTGTACTTAAATTTTCTACTTTTTGGTTTTCTTTTGACATAACCAATATGGTGTTCATGTGTTTTTTATATTCTTTACAGATGACTCCAAGAATGATTCAAAAGCCAGAAGCCCAAGCCGGCTAGATGGTAACATGGACACAATTGCCACAACCTGCAAAACATTAAATCATTCCTGGACACCTACCTACCCAGAGGATTTTACTCACAACAAGCCTCTGCACCCCTTTCTGGCTCTCACCCCTTCATTTTTGGTCCCTTTGTATTCAGACTGGAACTCTGCCCTGGCTACGTGGGGATTTGCATGGGAAGCACATATCTATGGCCTGGGCTCTGTCTTCACTGTATTTGGCCTAATCTCTGTAGTCTGCCTGTTAGGGCTGCCCCTGAGGTGTCCCCCAGGAAGCCCCTACTTCACAATGCTGCACTTGTTCATTTTGGCATTTGCAGGGATCCAAGCTTTCTGTTTGCTTTACGATGCTTACAGTTACCAAGATCGCCTTTCCCCTGTTGTCTCTCTGCTGCTCTCCGAACTGCCATTGCCATGTTTGATCTCAGCATTTTCCCTGGCCTTCCTCCTTCTTTCCTTTCGTTCATGCAAGCATCTTTCACTTTCACCTGTTATTTCTGCCTCCTTCTCAGCCTTGCCAAAGCCTTGCTTGTTGCTATGTTTGGCCCTGTTACATTTTATTATCTCTTTGGGATGTTTTGGGATTTTTCAGCTCTTTCACAGCCTCCCGACTGTCATCCTGCTCTTTCCTCAGGGTGTGTTCGTATGTCTCACCACCTTTCTCTCATGCTCATACCTCATCTTCTACTGCTTGACACAAGTCAACAGTAGAAACATTTACAGGTTAAATGACAATGGAGAGAGTGGAGGATCTCCTGAGGTGATGCGACCTGCAATTTGCCCCTTTGCTAGTGTGAAGGACTGGGGAAGGGCAGCAGGAGCTGGAGTAGGAACTTCTTTGTGTTTGTTAGGGTGTGGAGGTCTTCAGCTTTATGGGATCCTGCATGCCCTTGGTTTGGGTGGGGTTGATGGCCATGGGTTTCAGCCTTGGCCATGGTGGGGCTACCAAGTAGGCTGCAGACTCTGTGAGATTGGGGTCTGCCTAGGTTTGTCTGTCATTGGCACACATCCTCTATTCTGTAGCAACTCTAACAAGACCATAGCACATCCTAGACCAGGATCTTGGTCCCGTCTATCCGGTGGCTCTCCTTCACGAATGCTCACCATAACCTCTCAGGATGGTGCAAATTCCCCCGTCCTTTCCCAGGGTAAGCAAGAAAAGCTGGTGGCCTGTGATGTTGTAGCCAAGGAGCAGTCAGAGGTTCTTCCTCTTTACTCAATTGTGGAGTCTCCTGGAAATATACCAGACTGTGATCACAAACCCAGCCGAAGCAAAACTGTACTACCTCTCCCCACACCTCCAAACCCACCACATAAACCTACAGCCTCACCTGAGACTCGCCTGTCATCACTGGATCATTTAAGTCTCGAGACTGACTCAACTGTGGATCTGCAGCCTCCATCTCCCATAGACTTGTCGCGCAGCATCGACCAAGCTCTGTTCAGCGAATCCCTGTTTTCTCATAGTATCTTTGGTTTCCCAAGACTCATACCTGTTTCCTCAAGCCTTTCCTTGAGCTCCCCAAGCCAAGGTACATCAAAGCAAGGGCCCAGCTCTGTGGGAAATACCCTTTACCGAACTTCTTCTTGTGGAGATGTAGATCAAGAGAACACCTTGTCCAACTCCAGGTATTCCCAACCTCAAGGCTGTATGACAGCTCGTAGAAATCAACCATTATCACCAGACCAATGTGATTGGAAAGGGAGTGTTACTGGTTCAACCCAGGGCCTTTGCAGCCATTCCAAAGAAACAGGAAAGCTGCGATCACATTCATGGGCCAACAGAGGGCAAAATTTTACTCAGAGCAGCCTCCCACGTGCAATCCCCCCCCTGCCATACCACAGACGTTACCGAACCCTGAGCTTAGCTTCCCAGGACAGTCGGGGGTCTGGCCGATTGGCAGGAACTAAACACCTGAGTGAAAGCAAACAGCTGGAATGGGATATGGCTGTACAAGCAGAGTTTGTCAGTGTGTGCAAACAAATTGATGCACTGAGTGTTTGCAGTGACACCATTGAATTGTAGAAAGCTAAAAAACAAAATAAAACTGGGTGTAACTGGAATACAAATTGTGTAGATTTAAGTCTATTTAGGTTAAATGGGGGAATTAAACCGTAGTCTATATGTCAAAAACGTTATATAGACCTAAAATAGGAGCCAATATTTTTTTGTAAATACTGTACTGTTGATATTGTATATTCAAACAAAAAAAAGTTTATAAGACTGTCTTCATTATGCTGTTTTCAGCAACCTATTTCTTCCTTGCAGTATTGCTTTATTTGAGCAACATTATAATTTTAGAATGTGTCCATTGAAATCATATGTAAAATCAAACATTTGTTTCTAAAAAAGGTAATATTTGTGGCAAAGAAGTTAGCCAAAAAAGGAGTTCAATTTTTTTTTTTTTTTGCTTTATTTTGTTTTAGTGAAAATCCAGGATTGTGTCGAGGAAATCTAGCAGCCATAGGACAAGCAAAAGTCACAAAAGTTAAAGTTTGCGTTGCTGATGCGTTCTGTGGTTTGTGAGACATACTTGAAAGGGCTTAACTTTCTCTGCTCCCCTTTCCCGATAGTGTGCTAAAAGAATTACAGTCTAAATATATAAACCTTCTGAGGTTTCTTTGAATTTTGAGTGTAAAAGCATTAATAGGGACAAGCTGGTGTTTTTTTGTTTTTCGTTTGTTTGTTTCCTTGAGTTGTTTCTGGGTGTTTTCTTTTAACAGTGGAATATCTTTGAAGAATGAAAACAACATCATTACATTGCATGAATTTAAAGTGGTAGCAAAACAGTTTTTAAATAGTATCAAACTGTTGTTTGAAAAATGTTCTTTATTCAAATACATATACATCCAGTATATGACACAAGTTACATTAAATGAAAGTTTGATTCCTAGGTTGACCAAAAAAAGATGTTATTTATGGCATTGTTTATAATTAAGATGTGTCAACTAGTAAGAAGTTTAATTAACTGGTGACAAATTGTTGGCAAAATTAAAAATTAATTGTTGATTTTTTTAAAAACTGAGTGATACATGTAATACGTCTCTAACCAAATATACTGAGTACCTCACAGTAAAAAGGAAAAATTAAATTCATTTAAAAGTGATATTTGTAAAGATCGTTAGAAATAAATAAATCAAAACTGGAATATTGGTTTTGTTCTACTGCAACACTAGATAATCCATCTACCTTTTTTTGTGCTTTATTATTATTATTTTTAATACTGAGTCTGGGAAATAAAGACAAATAACCAACCATTCTATATCCTGCTGTGTTATTAATGATAACCTTTTGCAAAATAGCATTTTTGGAGAATACAGCATGTACTATAAAGCTAAGTGGAGCTTTGGTTGCATAGTGACAATAAAAATGAGAATGATGAAAGAAAACAGTGAATACTCTCCTTTAAATCAAGCAATAACATTAAAATAAGAGTAAAGTTCCAGGTGAGAGTGTAAATTGCTTTTTGAAGGCACTCCCTATTTGGAGTGCTCGTTTATAAATTAAGGCTGATGCTTTTCTTGTCCCTTCTATGACAGAGCAGCACAGAGCTCACTGACATGCATCAAAGAAATGACTTGAGTGACAAAGCTGTGCACTAAAAACATTATGAGAATTTTACTCTTCACTTGTTATTGTTATATATAAGAGAGAAAGAGAACTAAAAGTATGTGATTAAAGCTCTGTGCGCTGTTATTTACTTGATTTCCCACAAAAAAAGGGGGGGAGGGGTAGTAAAAGTAGTAAATGAGCAAGGAAATATATGGCTGTACTCTTCTCTTTCAAGCTCGGCAGATATATCATGACAAGTTTGTTGAAAGGGAACAACAGAATAGGTAATAACAGGATTCCCTCTACACCTTGACCTGAGAGGGAGAACAACAGATTAAGAGTTTGTGACCATCCTCTAAAACTCTGTTCTTTGGCTCTATCCTTTTAGGCTCTTCGAACTTTAAGAGAGTTGTTTTGGGGTCAGAGCTGGGACACCAATGAACAGAAGGTCACAGAATAGCTTTGTTTAAATTTTAGAGTGTAGAAGTCACAGGAGCTTCATGTGTTGCATTCTGATCACATGCGCCCGGTGCATCTGCTCATAGCTGCTGGGGTCGGGACGTTGGGTCCCGATCGGGTGTTTCCTCTTCCACCTGTTTCAGTAAAACCGCTTCTCATGACTACATGTGGAATAGAAAAAAAAGAGGGAAAGCATAAACTTTACAGTTAGAAAAATAAATGAAGATGTTTTTTTTAAGAAAGGAGAAGATGGAGGTAATGATTACTTACATGGCACAAAAGAATATCTAATATGATAGCATGAGTAATAAAGAGAAAAAGATAAGAGAATTTTATACTGTTGAAGGTAAATTAATGGACACTTAACAATGAAGTATATCTAACAACAGCATGTTCACATACTGTCACTGGTATCAAAATGTTTAGACAACAGAAACAGGAAAAGAAAAAGACATACATGGAGAAAGAAGGGGTTGCAGCGGAGGGGTAAAGGTCACCTTAAGCAAACAGTCAAACGTCAGACTTACGAGTGAAGCCCGTGGACGCCACCTTCCATCTGAGCCGACATGGTCCTCTTCTCAAACTTCAGTTCTCCAGAATACATCATTGACCTGGAGACAGATCACAGGAGGATACTTGGCGAAAGCCTTCACGTAACAAATCTCACACTAAACAGACGCACAGTTTGACACTTACCGTAAAATGGACAAACTTTTGGCTCCTATGTCCTGACAGCCATGTTGGATGCCAGCAATGAGGTAAGGAACAAACTTATGAATGGAGCCTTTGTCTTGTACTGACCCCGAAACACCTTGAGCTACCTTTACCTTATCTCCCTCACTGGGCACACAAACATAATTCACATGATTAACAAGGTAAGTTTTCCAGATTAAGTGTTTTCCAGTAAAAATCTCACCTAAAGTAGCGTTTCTGGCTGTTATTTTTCTCCATGGCATCTAAGGAGCCCATTCCTCTGTACTTTTTCAGGCGCACACCGTCGGAAAAGAAATATTCTCCTGGAGCTTCAGTAGTTGCCGCCAGCAATGATCCCATCATTACTGAGGAAGGAAAAAGACTGAATTGTTCAGTGGCTAATCCAAGTATACACACAAATTTAATGCCCCCAGAAAATGAGAGAAAATTTCTTTCTTTTACCCGTAGATGCTCCCAGGGCAAGAGCTTTTACCACATGTCCAACAGTTTGAATGCCTCCATCAGCGATTACCGGCACTCCAAAACGTCTGGCATACTCCGCGACCTTGTACACTGATGTGCCCTGGGGCCGTCCACAGGCCATTACTGAGAAACAAGACCACAATGTGATGGTTGGGAGCAAAGTATCCTCAATACAGTGAAATTCATACATTTTTATGTCCCATGATTAAGTATGATCGTACCTTCCTGTGTGATACAGATAGAGCCGCACCCCATTCCCACCCTCAGGGCATCCACACCGGCATCTATGAGGTTTTTGGCCTGAGCAGCTGTCACCACTAGAGAGAGACAGAGGCACAGAAAAGTGACAAAGAAAGGCACAAATGTAGAAGATGAATTCAAGAAGACAGTCCCGAGTAAAGAAATGGTGCTCACCATTTCCTCCAACCACTTGTAGTTCGGGATATTTATGCTTGATGTAGTTTATCGTGTTAATCTGATAGACTGAGTTTCCTTGAGAAGAGTCCTGTAATAATAATAATAATAAAACAAAATTATGGGAAAATGACTTAAGATCGGTCAAACACTCATACCAACTCTGTAGTTCCATTCATCCGGTGATTATTATGAGACCAATGACTTAGCGGACTATATGTGATCCAATAAAAAATTAGAATCAAATAACAGATCAAACAAAAGTTTAATTACAATACAATCAAAACTTACCAGGACAACAACATCGACTCCAGCCTGCACGAGGAGGTCCAGTCTGTATTTGTCGTCCTCCCTGGTACCGATGGCGGCTCCACACAGCAGCTGTTTACGAGAGTCCTTGGAAGCCAGAGGATAATCCCTGTTCTTCTTCAAGTCAGTCCTAGCGATAATGGCGACGAGCTCATCGTTGTCATTAACTATGGGGAGCTTACCTGGGAGAATGAGAAAGGAAAGGCCAAATATGCTACAGTCACAATTATGATTGCTGCCTATACGGCAGAGTTACTCTTTAAAGTTTTACCTTTTTTGCTACGTTGCAGTATATCGTTAGCTTCTTTTAGTGTGACTCCAGCTGGTGCAACAACTAGATCTTCTCTTTTTGTCATTGCCTGCATCAGAAAATAAACTGTGACCACACACACACACACACTCGTTTGATATTATAATTCTTACTTTGAGTACTCCGGGAGAGTAGAAAAGTGTTATATAAGAATCAGTCCATTTACCATTTACCAGATTATGTTCTCAAAAATATACAAATTCTTGCAGAATCGTCTACAACATTAATACACTCACTTCTTCAAGCGGTTGGTCATGGTCCTTCTCAGAAAGAAAATCGATATCCCTGGAGGTAACTATGCCGACCAGCTTGCTGCCCATCTTGCCAGTCTCTGTAATCGGGATCCCAGAGAAACCATGGCGTAACTTGGCCTCGAACACATCGCCTACTGTGTGACGGGGACTCATTACCACTGGATCTGTAATAAAGCCCTGCTCAAATTTCTAGCAAAAACAGAAACACGAATGTCGAGTGGGATTTAATTTCCATATCAGATGGCTGTTAGGGGCTTCATAGATCAAAAATGATTTCATCTGTTTAATTAGAGCACATGTGTGCAGTGACTTTTTCTGTCTCACCTTCACTTTGCGCACCTCATTGGCCTGGAACTCAGCAGTGGAGTTATGATGAATTATTCCAATCCCTCCCATCAGCTGAATCCAACCAATTAGAGACAGGAGTAAGTAAGTGAAGAAAAGCATCATTTGAGCAGTACCTACTCAGCTACTGAGTATGATGTATTTAACACTCTGCAGTGTTTGTACTCACTGCCATGGCGATGGCCATGGATGACTCCGTGACTGTATCCATAGGAGATGAAATGAGAGGCGTCTTCAGGGTAATCTTTCGTGTCAGGGCTGAAGTTAGATCCTTAAAAGTTCAATGCATTTGGAAACAAATTTATCACCTTATACTGCAACACTGAGGTCTACAACAAGCGTTTTAGCAAATTAAATAAGTATTTCTTAACTGGCTCATTTGCCCTGCAGTGAGCCAGTTTGGACGCATCAGAAGTGGAGTTGCTGTACTAACCGGCTGAGTGTTTAAAGGACCCAGGTGGCTTCCTCGAACACCTGCTCTCCAGCAATAACCCATGTGATCTAGTCATGAAATTAATTTAATGTTCCAGCAGAGTTCAAAAAGATGAACACAGTGCAAGTCAAATAAACAACCCCGTGCTCATTCACCTTTAACTAAGCAACACAACAAAGAGTTAGGGACTGATTACAGCAGCACCTTAATAACAGCAATATAAAATATAATGAGTTAAAGGACACCGTGTTTGAAGCACACTTAGCTCACTTTGCTCGTGGCAGTTTTCAAAGGAAACTATTCCTGTGTTGCCATTCACCAAAGCAGCAACCTCACAGGGATTATAGCAACTAGTGTTGTGACATAACCCATGTTGAAGAACCCTAATCCCAACTACATCACATCACATGAGCAGTACACTGAGAAAGTTTGAGCAGTAGGCTATGTTTAATATATTAGACAGTATGATGACACTTACCACCTCATCAGAAGTGAAATCTATGAAACCGGGGAGGATCAAGAAGTCACTGAAAGGGGAGAGGTGACAGAGAGATAAGATCGTGACGACTATGAAGTACTGCACAAACTAAATTAGAAATCACTTTTCAGTGGGGTCACATCAGTCATTGCACTGGTCAGCGCGTCGATTTGATCTCAGCTCTCACTGATCACTACATCATCACATGAGTTGTTAGCACTCATGGGTTGGATGCCACCTATCTTCAAACTCGGCGCTCATTTTGATCTCAGCTACTCACCTGTAAAGTTTTGTGTGTGCATCTTCCACTGTTGCGATGCTACCGTGCTGACAAAACTCAACACCACCTTTTTAGTGCTTCCTGCTATTGCAGGTGTCGCCAGGACCACTTTTTGCCATGAGGAAACACACAAAGACTTAACTGAAAAAACAAAACCAGCCTCACTGTGGCGACTGGTAAGCAGCATTTAATGTTAATAGTGACATTGACTGACCAGCAAAACACTTGTAAAGCTACCTCTTATAGTTGTGTATGTGAACTATATGTTTTGCAGTCACTCCTACACGGCAACATTTTATTTTATTTAATTAGCTGACAGTAAGCAGAAATAATCTGTCAGCAGCACACTGAAACGTTCTGCATTTATCCTCTGCACACTGATAAACCCTACACATAGCCCCATTAAGGAAACTACCCTGACAGCCATTAAAGCACTGATATGTGCAGGACACACACACACACACACACACACACACACACACACACACACACACACACTCTGACAGACACTGCTTTTAATGTCTGTAGCACCACTCAAGACTCATCCTTGAAAGTAGTATTATGCGTAATAATCCCCCCAAATAAAACCTGAGCAGATGTGTCATTGCTGATATTAATAAAGATTTAATGGAAGATATGACATAACAGTGTATATGTGTGTTTCTTTAGGTGCATGTGGATCTGTGTCAGCATGTAAGCAATGCCATGAATGTGTTTGTGTGTGTGAGGGTTGTTTTGGGGTTGTTGTTTTTTTTCATTTTAAATTTAGCATTTCTTACTTGTACGTAAGTCCGTCACCGATAGCAAAAAGTTGTTGTGCTGTGAGTCCATCCTCAGGAACGTAACCTGTACCCCCGCTGATCAAGTAGTCAGCCATGCTGAAATTTAAAAAACACACACACTCATCGTGGAGCTGAGAATATGAGTTAGCCACCACCACATCTAAATACTGAGCGAAATACTGGTGTATCCCAATGAAAAGACAACAGCATTATAGACATATATATAGCTTTAAATTTACAATAATTTGTTCTTGTTGCAGATTTTATACACTTAAGTGAATATTTTATTATTCTGTCCATCACTTTAGCTGATTGAAAAAGGTGCACCTAAATTAGGAGAAAGTGTATTTTTACTAAAAATAAAGGTATGGTTGGTTAGTCAGCAGTTAAATTCTGAATCCATTTCAAAGAGCATGTGGCTCATCTGTCTCTGTTTCTTACAAACATACTGTAACTAGATCCTATTACAAATGTTGGAGAGAAGACAGGAAACGCAAACAAAAGAGAATCCGTCCTTGTCAATGGAAACTCCTTCTATACACCTATGATGGCAGTACAGTAGGTAAGAGGATTTGGTAGGCTGCCCAGGTAGCTGATAAATGAGCTTGTAATGAGCACAGCCAATGCAACTAGAAAGTGAAAACAGCTCAGTTGCTACTGGAAGTGTAATGTTTACAAGTTATACGGCTTCATATATCACATCTGCACATAGAAGCTTGTGATGTTGCAGCGTGCGAAGATTGCTAAGAGAGTGTGACACTGACCTCTCTGGTTCATACCCAGCTTGAATACGCGTAGCGCTGTATCGCTGGGCTGCTGTCTCATATCCATATCCATGTAGCACAGGGTGGGCATATCCCCCATACGGGTGAGGTTGCTCCCCATCTCTGTTTGAGGGCCGTGGCCGTGCTGGTTCCATGTCTCCAACAATCCTTCGGTAGTCAATGAGGTAGCTGTCCCTTTCTCCATCTCCAAAGCGGTCAGAAGCATGACCTTCCATCTCTATGAAATCCAGGGCTCTGACCTCCACGGTGCCTGACCACCTATCACGCACTCTTTAAGCACTTGTGACTTGTTTCATACACACAAATACAATCACACCTTCACGCTGCAAGTAAACAGTGGCCTCAGCAAACCCCGGGAGACACACTCTAACGCAGTCAATGCTTTGAGTGCATGTTCACACAAACACCTTTCAGACACACCTGATATGGGAGTAAGCTATCGTACCGCTCGAGACTTGCAGATGACAAACCTGTAGGAAATAGAAGAAACAGCAACAAAAGATCCTAAACAAATTGTCCAAGGCTGAGTTTGTATTCCAGTTAGTTATCACTTATCCATGGAGGCCATTAAGGCCCTCAGACAGTGGATAGTCTTTTTTTGCCCACCTGTTGATGAAGGTCGCTATCGTGGCACAGCAAATTTAGATCTCCTGTATTCTCCCCAGCAAAAGAAACAAGCAGCCCCCGGGGAGGAGAGTCAAGCCTTGCGTAGGCAGCAGAGATTCATCCCCCTGGAGGTCCAAACTTGCTTGGTTATCCCTACGGCTGGGAGCTTCTCTCTACTCTATTCTCCTGATGCCTGCTGAGCTTAACTCTGTTTCTGACAGCAGACGTCACTCTCCCACAAAGAGGATTGGGAGCATTAATGCAGAATGGGGTGGGGTGAGATGGGTGTTGGGTGGAGTGTAGGTAGTAGTACCGAGGAAGAGAAGGATGGGTCAAGATGACACTTGAAAACACTTTCCTCACAGGAGATTACCATGTTGTGACGGTCTGTGTTCGTGTGTGTGTGTGTGTGTAGACAGAGCTGTGAATGAGATAAGGTCGAACCCCAGGATACGTACAAACTTCCTGTCTTTGAGAAATGAGACAGAGAATAACTTTTAAAGACGTAATGCTGTCTAATTAGTTTGTCACACTTAAATTTAGGAGTGGCTTGTATACCGTGGCACTATTATTTATCATGGCAGTACAACAACAGAGTTCTATAAATACTTTCTTCTATTATGAGGTTTTAATTAATAAAATTTACCAGATCAACGTCTTTGAAATGTCTGTTCTGGCTGCTGTGGGAGCTTTTTAATCTTAAATCGTTAAACTGTTTGGACTGTTCATTGAGAAACAGTAGGAACTTTGCTACCTACAGTGCTTTCAGTAACATCATCTACAGGTGACTGACTGACTGCTTGTGACAGTTACAGAGGGATTGAACTAGAAAAGCCTCTTAGAATCTCTCTCTCTCTCTCTCTCTATCTATCTATCTATCTATCTATCTATCTATCTATCTATCTATCTATCTACTGCAAGTCTCTCATTATCTCGCAGTTGCTCCCATTCTCCCACCAGATAAAAGAAAAAACAAACCCTCCAATTGATAATGAATGCAACAGAAATGTTGAAAAGCTAAGAAGCAAAACTTATTTTGCACAGAGATTTTTATTAAGCCTCATATTCATGACTTGTTCTTAAATTAGTATGGTTTAACAAAATGTCAATAAATAATTTATGGACCAAAACATATGCATATAAGATATTTCTATATTAACTATCCAAAGCCTGAACCATGAAATAACTCCCAGAGAATACTGGTTTTTAAAAAAACGGGACTGTTTATTGACAAATTATAAAACAATAAGAAGAAATTGGCACATTTGATTTTAAATTGTATCATATTTGCTAATTCTGTCATTTTTTTTAGCAGTTAGTTTAGAAATTTTGGGTGCAGTCTATTTAGGTCTTTAGGGGGGAAAAAACACACTAATGAGGTTTCAAAAACTCAAAAAAATTCATGTATCAAATATAATACCAGTACATATTTTTCACAAAAGATTCAAGTTTGGTTTTAAAAGGGCAGGAAAGGTCTTTGACGCTTCTGTCCAAAAGATGCAGGAATGCAAAAGCTGCTTTGGAACTAGCCATCTATAGAAAATAAAAGGAGAAACTATTAACTTGTTATACATGTTAAGCCATATTTGACCTTTTTAATAAGAGCAAATCATACCAAGCCTCTCCACTAGTTCTGGATGATGTTTTTCAAGGGCATCAAAGAAGGCTGCTTTGACCTTCACCCCTCCTGAACGCAGTGTTCTTTCAAAGAGCTCCCTCATTTTATCTTGACTTGTCGGTTTAGCTCGAATCTTTGAATAGGCTTCAGGATGGACCAGGTCTCCAAGCTCTTCTGCTATCGCCAGCACTTCAGAAACTTCTTGGATTAACTGTGCCCTGTTTCTATCAACAAAGTCTGCTGCTTGTAAATGAAGAAAATGAAAGCATGTATTTAAAAATCATAGAATAAAAATTGTGAACGTGACTGTGAAATAATAAATAATACACACCTTTTTCATGTTCATTCATTTTTGTAGCAAAACTGCTGATATAATTCTGTTGGCAAAGGGAAATAAAACATACTTTTACATAAAACATAAAAAACATACTTAAAACATACTTCGGATGAGAGGTGAAACGTCTTCAAGCAACTTAAAGAAGTCCAGACGCTTTTCTTTGCAAACTCCTTTGACTACGATGACCTGGATGACTGAGAACCTTCACAGACATACTTTTAGTTTATACTCAATAACTACAGCAGTACCATGATACGTTTTTAAAACAGAGTAGAAAGACATGCACAAATATTTGGCTGTTTACAAATATTAATCCAACGATCATTAAGCAAAGAATACAGAATAAAACACGAGTGACAAACAAACAGTACACTGACTGCTAATGCGTAGTGAACATGTGTAGATGGAGTCCAGGCGGTTCTCATATTTCCTCTTTTTTCCGAGGTTGTCATTTAGGAACGTGGTGGGTAGCCGAAAACGTAATATGTTGACGATTTGTCACCTAGCGTAAAATGTTACGCTTTGGGAGTGAGAACGTGTTGGAATCCCAGAACAGAGGTATAAAGTGCGCAGGACGTCTGATAAAACTGTTATTATGTATCAAAGGGAACCGTAAGGGCTCAGTTACAATACGAAAATTCATTTCATATATACAGAAAAGCACAGATTATCAAAGATGAGCAAACTAACTAGACTATCAGTACACTAACAAACTGATGCAAATCCCTGGGCATTTTCTTCCATACGTTTTTTTTTTTTAGCAGGGAACGAACCAGAGCAAGCTACATCTACTGCTTCCTCTTTCACTGGCAGGCTGTTGCACTCGTGTTTATCGTGCAGATTCCTCCATGTTCACAACTTTTGCATAGATTATTCATAAGTTATATATTCTTGTCTTGTCTGCATTTTAACATGAACGTCTGTGCAACCGCGGTTCAGTGCAGGGTCCTCCATGTTCACAAACTGTTTGAAATCTTTTCCGATTTCAGAGATCACGGTCTCTAAATATCTTTTAGATTACTCATACTCGCTCTTCTGAGACCACAAATACAAATGCAACCCAAACTTCCTCAAGTTGTAGACAATCATGCGTCATTTTCTTTGTCATGTTCCTACGTGTGGGGGTTTTTAAAGGGAAAATGGCTTATGTTTTAAAAACGAAAAATGTATTAAAATGCTTGCGGCTACTCACCTTTTTGTCAAGATGTTCCACTTCCAGATTTGAAAGTTCAAACCAAAGCTGTGGCCAAGCTATGGACTTTCTAGCTTTCACTTTCCCATCTTTACTTACTGAGCAAGAGGGAGGATGGGGCGGGGCGAGGTTGGCAGC